AATAAATAATAAATATTTTTTTAAAAAAAGAAAAATACAAGCCGGGCGGTGGTGGCGCATGCCTTTAATCCCAGCACTCGGGAGGCAGAGTCAGGCGGATCTCTGTGAGTTCGAGGCCAGCCTGGGCTACCAAGTGAGTTCCAGGAAAAGGCGCAAAGCTACACAGAGAAACCCTGTCTCGAAAAACCAAAAAAAAAAAAAAAAAAAAAAAAAAAAAAAAAAAAAAAAGAAAAATACTTATATAAAGAAGGGTGTGTTGGAAAATGTCACATTTGTTTCTTCTTCTCCTTCTCCTTTCTTTCTTCCTCCTCCTCCTCCCTCCCTCCCTCCTCCTCCTCCTCCTCCCTCCCTCCCTCCCTCCCTCCTCCTCCTCCTCCTCCTCCTCCTCCTTCTGCCATGGTGGTGTGCACCTTTAATCCCAGCCAGATCTATGTAGAGAGACTGTCTCAAAAACAAAAAAGAGCTACAGTACAAGAAATTGGATTTTTTTTTTAATATATCCTTGCCTGTCCTAGAATTTGTTATGTAGACCAGGCTGGCCTTAAACTCACAGATACCCACCTGCCTCTGCCTCCCAAGTGCTGGTATTAAGGGTGTGTGCCATCATGCCCATTTAGATTTCATTGAAAAAATTATTTTTTATTTTGTGTGTTCTTGAGTGTTTTACTTGCATGTATGTATGTGTACTGCATGTGTGCCTGGTACATTGCAGAGGTTGGAAGAGGGTATGGATCCCATGGACCTGGAGTTACAGATAGTTGTGAAGCACCATGTGAGTGTTGGGAATCAAACCCAGATCCTCTGGAAGAGCAAGAGTTCTTCACCTGTGAGCTGTCTCTCCAGCCCCCTAGGTCCATTTTTAACTTTTTTTTTTTTTTTTTTTTTGGTTTTTCGAGACAGGGTTTCTCTGTGTAGCTTTGCGCCTTTCCTGGGACTCACTTGGTAGCCCAGGCTGGCCTCGAACTTCACAGAGATCCGCCTGGCTCTGCCTCCCGAGTGCTGGGATTAAAGGCGTGCGCCACCACTGCCCGGCCATTTTTAACTTTTTATGATGTCACTTTAACAAGTCACTGTGGTGTCACAGGTGGACTGTGTCTCTGCTGGTGGCGGTGATGAAAGGAGAGAACCGAAACACCCACTTCTTCCCTGGAAAGTATTTACTTCATTGATTTAGCTTACTGGATATGGGATAAGAAATAAAACTTGACTCTTCCATGAAGTAGTTGCTCTTTGAGGTTAAATAACCATGTAACTGTTAAAAAACAAAACAAAACAAAAACCTTGGTTAAGGTAAGTAAAACTTTTTTCATTTTCATCATGGCAGCAATAATTTAAAATTTTAATTTAAATTTTTAATTTTTTTGTTTTGTTTTTTCGAGACAGGATTTCTCTGTGTAGCTTTGCGCCTTTCCTGGATCTCGCTCTGCAGACCAGGCTGGCCTTGAACTCACAAAGATCCGTCTGCCTCTGCCTCCCGAGTGCTGGGATTAAAGGCATGCGCCACCACCGCCCTGCAATTTTTAATTTTTTTTAAGATAGGGTCTCACTGTATCACCCTGGCTGACCTTCAACTCACAGAGACCCATCTATCTCTGTCTCCTCTGCTGGATTAAAGGTCTGTACCACCATGTCCAGCTTTAATTTTTTTAATTATTTTTAAAATCTAGACAGTGTTTCAGAGATCTCCTGTCCTGTTTCCCAAGTGCTGGGATTAAAGGTGTGCACCACCACACCTGGAAATAATAATTATTTTTAACTTGTAAATTACTAAATTTTGCTTGAGTTAGAATATAATGTTTACTAATTACTCAGCCTGAGATATCTCCTTTCTATTATTAGATCCTGAGTTCATTTCCCCTTCCTACATCTTTAACTCCCCTAAGCTCAGTCTCTTAAGTCTCCCTGTGGCAGATACATCAGCTATTTTCTTACTGTTTTCCTTTTGAATTAATTTTTTTATTCTGTTTTTTATGTTTATGGTTTTTTTTTTTTGCCTACATGTATATCTGTGCACCACATGCATGCTTGGTGCCAGGAGAGGGCATCAGATTCCCTAGGACTGGAATTACAGGCAGTTGTGAGCTGTGCTGTGAGCTGCCATGTGGGAACTAGGACTTGAACCCGGGTCCTCTGGAAGAGCGTTTAGTACTGAGCCATCTCTTCCAGCCCCTTATTTTTTTTTTAAAGGATTTATCTTTATTATTTATGTGTATGGATCTGTGTGAATGTTTGCCATTTTTGTTAGTACTGATGTGTGTGGGTCACAAGAGGGTGCCTGATTCCCTTGGAACTGGCTTTACAAGCAGTTGTGAGCTGCTTTAAGTGTGAACTGGGAATTGAACTCAAGTCTTCTGGAAGAGCAGTAAGTTTTAATTGCAGAACCATCTCTCCGGCTGGTTTTTCTTTTCGTCTTTTCCTCTATCCTTCCTTCTCTCCTTCCTTCCTCCCCCCCCTCTCCCTCCCTCCCTCCCTCCCTCCCTCCCTCCCTCCCTCCCTCCCTCCCTCCCTCCCTCCCTCTCTCTCTCTCTCTCTCTCTCTCTCTCTCTCTCTCTCTCTCGATTAGGTCTCTTTAGCCCTTCCTGTCCTGGAAAACTTGTGAAGACAGGCTGGCCTTGAACTCACAGAGCCTCTGCCTCTGGAGTGCTGAGATTTAGACATGGGCCACTATGCCCAGCATCTTTTTGTTTTATTTCTAGTATCTTGTATACTCTGCAAAAATGGGATCAAGTCTAGATAATCTCAAAAGGGCTGTGTAGTTGGAAGTTTTCCTATGTCCTGTCCAGGCCACAGCCACTCAGACCCAAGTAAACACACAGAGGCTTATATTAATTAAAACTGCTTGGCCATTAGGTCAGGCTTACTACTGAGTAGCTCTTACATTTAAACTCAGCCCATTTCTGTTAATCTATATGTCGCCGCGTGTTATGTGGCTTTAACTGTGTGTCATTACATTCTGCTCCCTGGACGACGGGCTGGTGTCTCCTCACTCAGCCTTCCTCTTCCCAGAATTCTCCTTGTCTGCTTATCCCACCTATACTTCCTGCCTAGCTACTGGCCAATCAGTGTTTTATTAAACCAGTGTACAAAAGTGTTATCCACAGCAGGGCTGCCAACATAATTATTTTGAGCAGTTATCTTTTGGCCAATATAGTTTGGATTGGACTGTTTTCAAGCCTTTAAAACTTCTATCCCTTCTGTATCGTGCTCGCTCCTGACTTGAATGCCTTGTCACCACCCCTATGGCTTTCCCATGTTGCATTTCTGCTCTTCTTTTTCACACTTATCAAATTCCCTTTTGCCTTCTTTCCCACCTGTTTAGTTTGCTGATATTTCAGAGTCAAATTTTGATAAAGCCTATCTCGTTTAGCTTGGCCTAATTTTGTTTTTCCTTCTGTGATTACTGTGACCCCTTATTGCTAGGTTTACTTTACTAGTCATTTGTCAGGATTCTCCAAAGAAATGGACCAATTTTTTATTATTATTATTATTATTATTATTATTATTATTACTACTACTGTGTGTGTAGAGACAGGTATTTATTGTAGGAATTAGCTCAGACAGTTATAGATGCTGACAAGTCTAAAGTGGGGCAGGAGTTGTTGGCAAGTTGCAGGCTCATGCTGCAGTTGCAGGCTAGTGCAGTAGTTGCAGTCCAAAGGCTAACGTGACAGACTGAAAATCAAAGACTCGGGAGCTCATTTTCTACTCTGTAGTTAGGCCAGAGGAATTTGTTTTGGCATTTATTCTGCTGTTCATTCATATACCTTGCCTTACCAGCTAGTAAGTAAAGCATGTTGAGGCAGGCAGTACAATCATATTTACTTACCTCTGTGAGTTCTGTCATCCTGACATGGAGCAGTATATCCGTATACTTTTATAAAGCTATACCTTTTTTTTTTTTTTTTTCAAGACCGTCCCATGTAACTCAGTCTGGCCTCCAACTCATTCCTGTTCCTCCTGCTCCCCTGTTTTCAAGTGCTGGAACTTCAGAAGTCCCATGCCTGGCTTAAGAGAAAGGATTTTTGAGGTTACTGTATTTTGGAGTTAAGAAATCAAGAAATCAGCCAAACGGACCTTTAATCCCAGCACTTGGGAGCTAGAGGCAGGCCTGGTCTACAGAGCGTCGAGTTCCAGGACAGCCAGGGCTACACAGAGAAACCATGTCTTGGAGAAAAAAGATATCAGGAAATCGCTTTAGAATGGGGAGAACAATTGTTTCCTTGCTGGCTAGGGGACTAAAATGAAGTAATGTGATTTATTTTTGAGACAGGGTCTCACTGTGTAGCCTTGGCTGGTTTGGAACTCTTTATAGACCAGACTGGCTTCTAACTCATAGAGGTCTGTTCTGAACTCCAAGTGCTGGAATTAAAGGTGTGTGCCAGTGGAGTAATTTAATGGGTGACTGTCATGTCATTCATTTGGCTCAGCAGTTGATTTGTTTTGTGCTAGAAAAGTTAAGTGATTTATGAATTAAGGTAAGTTTTCCTTTTCCTTTTTCTTTTTTTGCTTAAGAGTAAGATTCAGAATAGCCTGGAGTTCTATGATGTGGGAATTAAGACCATTTCTGGAGAGTTCACATCCCCTTTTATTTACAAGTGGACACAGTGTGTCATTCAGTTACTCATATTCATGAGCATGTGCCAAAAAGAGAGCAAGATTAATTTAAGATCAACAGATATTGACATTTTAAATCTGACCACTTATGTCTAAGATTCTCTAATTAGATATTTAAATGGAATTAAATGAAATTAAATATTACCCATTAAATGGATAATATTTAAATAAAATTCTCTAATTAGATATTTAAATTTAAATATTAAATGGAAGATATTTAAATCATAACCAAATAGCCATTTTACCTTTCGAACATGCATGTATTAAAGTTGCAGGTTGAGGCAATAGAATTGAAAGTACTTTAATTTGAATTAAATATTCTTTTTTCTTCAGTTAGGAGTTAATGAGAAAATAGTTTTCAGTTAACGTTTTCTTTTCTTTCCTAGAGTTCTCATAAGTACATCTTAAAGCCTTCAAGATGGTTCTAGCAGATCTTGGAAGAAAAATAACGTCAGCATTACGCTCATTGAGCAATGCCACCATTATCAATGAAGAGGTATGAAAATGCGGTGTAAGATACATGTGCTGGTACATTGTTGCTAGGATTAGAGAGCTGGACTAAATGATGTCCTTTAGAGTTGTGATTGAATTTGATGTAGATTTAATAACTGTAAATACGCTATAACAGTAAGGAGTGCTTTTTATTGAAAATTCAACTACCCTGTTATCTTACCTTTTTTTTTTTTTAAACTGAAATTTGTTTTTAATTATGTGTATGTCTGAGTGAGGTTGTATGCGTACCAGTGCAGGTGCCCAGGAGGCCAGAAGAGGTTAGGTATGGGAGCTCAAGTTTCAGGGGGTTGTGAGCCGCCCAAGTGCTAGGAAATCAAACCCGGGTCCCCTGGAAGAGCAGCAAGGGCTCTTAACCGCTGAGCCAGCTCTCCTGCCGTTATTTCATCTTACTAGTCAGAACTTAAAAAGCAAAACAAAACAGAAAAAGCCTACCTTTAGTGTGTGTGTGTGTATATATATATACATATACATACACACACACACACACACACACACACACACACACACACACACACACAAAACGGTGTAGCTTTTGAAATACTTGAATCTGGAAATGTAGTTTGCTGCTCTGTCTCAACATAGAACTAAGACTTCTTGGGCTTCTTTCTCCTTGGTAGACATGTGCTTACCTGTTTTTTTCTGTATCTTTCATTCAGCATTCTTCATATAAAAGAGCATTTTTGCCTTAGTGTGGAGGCATGTACTGTAGGGAGGGTGAGGCAGGTCAAGCCAGGGAGGCAGAGCTTTTCTCCCTTACTTCCTCAGAGAAGGTTTTTCAGCTGATTCTGATGACAAATCATAACTGAAACCATGATCATATCTGAAATAGTCTTTCTGGATTTATAGGGGTTTTTAAAATTTATTTATTTAATTTTATGTGTTTTTAAACTTTTGTGTGTTTTTAATTTTATGAGTATTTTGCCTGTTTGTATGTCTATGCAGCATTTATGTGCCTGATGCACAAAGGTCAGAAAAGGGTATTGGATCCCCTGGAACTGGGGTTATGGATGATTGTGAGTCACCATGTTGGTGCTGGGAACCTGTCTTAGTTACTTGTCTATTGCTGACCAAAATAACTTTCTTAAAAAAGAAAGTGTTTAGCTGGGTGATGGTAGCACACGCCTTTAATCCCAGCACTCAGGAAGCAGAGCCAGGTGGATCTCTATGAGTTCAAGGCTAGCCTGGGCTACAGAGTGAGTTCTAGGACAGCCAGGAGTACACAAAGAAACCCTGTCTCAACAACCAAAAAAAGAAAGAAAGTTTAATTTGGGGCTCACAGTTCTGGTCATCATGGTGGGGAGCATGGCAGTCAGGGAGACATGCACTGGAGCAGTAGCTGAGAGCTTACATCTAATTTACAGGCATAGAGCAGAGTCAGACGGCCTGCTGTGGGCCTTTGCAACCTCAGAGCTTATGGCCCAGTGACATAGCTCCTCCTCAAGGTCACACCTCCTCTAACAAGGCCACACCTCCTAAACAGCCCACAGCCCACCAACTGGGAACCAGACATTCAAATATATGAGCCATAGAACTGAACTTGGATCCTTTGGAAGAGCAGAAAGTACTCTTAGCCACAGAGTTAGCTCTCCAGTTCAGTGGTATTAATCGTTTTTAAGTTGAAGATACTGTGTCTCTCACTCTCCTATCTACTCAATGGCTTGTTGCCATTGTATCTTAATGATTTGTTATTTGAAGGCAGATGATTATAGTCCATGGTATTCTTTCTAGTTTGTAGTAACAATGAAAAAATTCTAAGTTTAGCTGGGCAGTGGTGGCGCACGCCTTTAATCCCAGCACTCGGGAGGCAGAGCCAGGTGGATCTCTGTGAGTTCGAGGCCAGCCTGGGCTATCAAGTGAGTTCCAAGAAAGGCGCAAAGCTACACAGAGAAACCCTGTCTCGAAAAACCAAAAAAAAAAAACCCAGCCGGGCGGTGGTGGCGCACGCCTTTAATCCCAGCACTGGGGAGGCAGAGCCAGGCAGATCGCTGTGAATTCGAGGCCAGCCTGGGCTACCAAGTGAGTCCCAGGAAAGGCGCAAAGCTACACAGAGAAACCCTGTCTCGAAAAACCAAAAAAAAACAAAAACAAAAACAAAAAACCCAATTCTAAGTTGAGATGGCTCATCCATTAAAAACTAAGCTCATGACCAAAAGTTTTCTGTGTTTGAAGTTTCAGGAAAAATTCTAATACAGAATTTAATAATCAGTATTTTAAAAAACTAATGAAATGAAATAATTTTAAGACTGTCTTACTTAGAAATTACGTAGACTATTTAACAGAAATGGAAAGTTAGTTCAGATTTTTCTTTACTGGAAGAGAATCTTTTCCCCTAATTTCCTCCGTGAAAGTTTCTCTAATAATTCCTGCTAATATTAAATCACAACTTAAGTTGTTGCTTAGTCATACAATCCACAATAACTAAAACAAGAGCTTTCTGAATAACAACAGGCACCAAAACTACACAGAGAAACCCTGTCTCGAAAAAATCCAAAAACAAAAACAAAAAAAGAATAAAATTGTTATGATCAATGCTTGGTTATTAATACCTGTGCAAAACTAAATGCCATGGCTTATTTTGATAGAATGACTGGACATTTAATATTTTCTCTCCAAAGATAATTAAAAATCTTTTCTCACCTCCAATAGTGTGGTATTGCTATATCTTTATTAAGCTACGGTAGTACATGATACCTGATCAACCATTGTTTTTATGTTGCTGAAGTAAAACATTAAGCATATTTCAATTTTATTTATTTTCAGGTATTAAATGCTATGCTAAAAGAAGTATGTACAGCATTATTGGAAGCAGATGTTAATATTAAACTAGTGAAGCAACTGAGAGAAAATGTTAAGTAAGTTGAATTAATTGTATAAAAAAACAGGACAAACCAAGTTTGGTTTGCTGGGATTGAGGAGGTGACTAGGAAAGCTTGCTTTATCATGAAATACTTTTATACAGCACTGGAATGATACAGAACTCATGTGTCAGAAAACTGCCTGTGGAACAGGGTGTGATGGCTCATGCCTGGGAGACAGAGGCAAGGGAAGTTCTGAGTTCAGCTAGCTTCAGTTATCTATGAGTCTCAGGTCAGCCTTGGCTGAAAGATTTAGATGGAGGGAAGAAGGAGGACTGTGTATTTCCATAATGGTGGTTCAGTGAACAAAGATAACTTCATCTCGTTGTAGATTTTCTTCTGTCTTCTTTATTTGGTGGGTTCAGTCATTTACTATAGCTAAATGGGATACAACATTAATGTAAAGGCTTTTTAACAATTCAGTTTTTTCATGAAATTGTGGTGAGATTACCTGAGTCAGTCTTCTTCATGATTGAAGACTCATACTCTCTTTCGTTCTCCATTTTGGTTTCTCTGTCCTTGTTTGAAGGAGTACTGTGTGGTCTTTGGAAGAGGCATGTGGGCGGGCGGGCATCTAGAGCGTATGGGCGCCTCTGACAACTCCCTGAGTCCCAGTGCTAGCATTCCTTCTGTCTGCGCTCATAGTCGGGGGGATACAGAACTACGAGCATTTAAGAACTTAGAAGTAGAAAGTCAGTGTGATTTTCTGTGTATAACGTTTACAAGCTTCAAGAAAAATAAAATTAATATTTGTAGTTATAGCCAGAGAAATTACTACTTATGCATTGAACTGAAAGCCTTGAAAAACTATCTAATATTTTGTGATATAATTCTTTGTGGTATAATCTTATGAATCTGTAATAATTATATGAATGTCAGTTAGATCATTAATATGAATGATTGAGTACTCAACGTTCTGTGAGATAGAAATACTTTCAGATTATCTTAACGGACTTTTCTTCTTACCCCAATTGTCACTGTTATGAAGGTCTGCAATTGATCTTGAAGAGATGGCATCTGGTCTGAACAAAAGAAAAATGATTCAGCATGCTGTATTTAAAGAACTTGTAAAGGTAAAAGTGTATCAAGAGTATGATTCCATCGAACACAGCTTTTGAGTCCCTTCTCCATTCTTCTCCATTCTCTGTATATCATGGCAGAATCAGTCAGCTGTCTGTTTTTACTCAATAATATCTAAATTTTCTCTTCCTCCCACACACTAAAACAGGAAGGCAGAGGCAGGTGCATCTCTATGAAATTGAGCTAGTCAGCCTACATATTGAGACTGTCTCATGCAACAAACAAAAAGACAGTAATAACAACTAAACTGTATTATTAGTGACTGTACACTTTACCAGCAAACACTTAAAATGCCAGCTTTCACTTAAGTCCTTCATAAAGCTGTAGATAGTAATTGTATTAAATTGTGACCGTTGACTATGTGTATGTCTTTTTAAGGTTCTGTGGATGAAATGGGAAGTATATGTTCTGTGCTGTACTCTTCAAAGCCTCTTAAAGCTCAGCTCAGTTGCAAACTGAAGTCTCTGCTGCCTGCAGAGAACACCATTTTATGTAAATGAGCAATTAGCATATAATCTGGTTATTCTGACCTGGATTTAATTTGGCAGAACTATTTCCCAAAGGAAGTGAACTTGTCACTTTAAGGAAAATAACTGACAATATTATAGCTGGTGATAAAATTCAAGATAAAATTATATGTATATTTTTTAGCTATTATGAATAGTGATGTTGTGACTGATCATGTTTTGTTTTTACATATATCTTGTTTTCTCTTGGATAAATATGTTGGAGAAGAATTTCAGGGTCTTTTCTTTCTCTCTACACAGCCCTAGCTGTCCTCAAAGTCAGAGACCTGAGACCTTCTGCCTCCCAAGTGCTGGCATTAAAGGCATACACCACTTCTTTTTTTTGTTTGTTTTTCTAGACAGGGTTTCTCTGTGTATCTTTGGTGCTTGTCCTGGATCTTGCTCTGTAGACCAGGCTGGCCTCAAACTCACAGAGATCTGCCTGGCTCTGCCTCTCAAGTGCTGAGATTAAAGGCCTGCACCACTGCCGCCTGGGCACTTTTTTTTTTAATTGAATTTTATTATTTTACCTTTGGAACCATGGCTCACTAATTGAGATTGGCCTGGAACTTGCTACTAGCCTAGGCTGGCCTGGAATTCATGATTCTCCTGAAGTCTAGATTTTTATAAAGAAAATATTTGTAAAGTGTTCTGCTAAAGGTACGTGGGTAAGCTGGACATGTTGTTCAGTTAGTAGAGTAAGCATCTATCTGGGCTGCGGGAATCCCTGAGTTCAATTTCCAGCACCATGTAATCTTTGTTCTTGGGAGGTGGAGGGAGGCAAATCAGAAGTTCAAGGTCATGATGACTTCACAAGTTCAAGGCCGCCATACATGAAACCTGCCTTAAGATAAATAAATAATAAATATTTTTTTAAAAAAAGAAAAATACAAGCCGGGCGGTGGTGGCGCATGCCTTTAATCCCAGCACTCGGGAGGCAGAGTCAGGCGGATCTCTGTGAGTTCGAGGCCAGCCTGGGCTACCAAGTGAGTTCCAGGAAAAGGCGCAAAGCTACACAGAGAAACCCTGTCTCGAAAAACCAAAAAAAAAAAAAAAAAAAAGAAAAATACTTTCTTTTTTCTTTAATTAATTACTTTTTGTGTGGTGGGTGTGTATATATGTGTGAGTCTGTCAGTCTGTCTGTGTAGGGAGTTGGCTGTTTCCCTCCATCATCTGGGTCCTTTCTTTCTTTTCTTTTCTTCCTTCCTTCCTTCCTTCCTTCCTTCCTTCCTTCCTTCCTTCCTTCCTTCCTTTCTTTCTTTAATTAATTTTTGTGTGGTGTGTGTATATATGTGTAAGTCTGTCTGTCAGTCTATCTGTGTAGGGAGTTGGCTGTTTCCTTCCATCGTGTGGTTCCTTGGGATTGAACTCAGGTTGTCATGTTTGCTAATCACCTTTGCCTGTTGAGTCATTCCACTGACCCCCAAATTTGATGTTTATATGGGTCCACAGGTACATTTGTTTTACATTTATGTAGTTGTGATACAGATTGTGATGTAGACGAACTCCTTACCTCTAAATTGCTTTGATGTGAAAGGCCTGAGTATGACTTCAACACTGCAGTATTTTATAAAAGTCTTCAATTTCCCTCTGCATGAAGGGGGCTAGTAGAGTTGTCTAAGAGTGTTGGGGTTATGGTGCTTTTTATAACATTGTAGGATTTTTGAATGTCCCGTGTTAGTCCGACATTTTTATCTTTGGTCTCCAGCTTGTAGACCCTGGAGTTAAAGCATGGACCCCGACTAAAGGAAAACAGAATGTGATCATGTTCGTTGGCTTGCAAGGGAGTGGTAAGACGACTACATGTTCAAAGGTAAATGCACGGAAAAGTGTCTGTGTAAGATGTGTTTGTACAAAGTTTCATGTTCCAGCCAAGCTATCTATTGTTGTTTTATAGTTTTGTTACTTAGTGTGTCTTCTCTGCTTTTGTAATATTTTTGTAGGACATAGAGTAGACTCCTATAGTCTCCTGTGATATTTGTCAGAATGTTAGACTTGTAAGCCAGGGGTGGAGATGCTCACCTGTAGTCCCAGACTATTGTGGAGTTGGGAGGATCAGGAGTTCAAGCTCATCATCAACTACATAGTGAGTTTGAGGTCAGCCTGAACTGTATGAGACCACCTCAAAACAAACAGTGAAAAATAACGTTAATTCTGGTTCTTTTGAAAAAGAAAAGGCAACTCCTGTCCTTAAGGAATGTAAGTAAGCCAGATGTAGTGGAGGAAGGCCGGTGGATCTTTGTGTTGAGGCCAGCCATTCTGTAGTTACTTCCAGGCCAGCCACAGCTACTGGAGAGAAAGAGAGGGTGTAGGACAAGGAGAGCTCACATGCACACAGTGATTTTTTTTTTAATTGAAGAAAACAAGGGTATGGACTTTCCCTTGTGACACAAAATTTCCCTTTGAGTGTCCCACTGTTTATGATATTGCCTTTTATCTTACATATCCTTATGTTAATTTTTCATTTCTTATATGACCCTCTTGTCTATGATTGGGTTCCCCACAAGTGTTAGCCATGTTATAGTTTAAGGGCAGGGGTGATGGTTGTTTAACAGTGGTTATTGCTTCCCTATTACCTTACATTTGTTGAATGAGAATTAGGATTTAAACTCTTTGCTATACATCAAAATATTTAATATTACATTTAAGAGAATTATGAGCAATTTTACTTTACTTCTTAGATAAATAAGATTAAACAAAAGTTATATATAAAATGATTTGTTTTCTGATACTTTATTTTTAATCTTCCTTTCCCAGTTAGCATATTATTATCAGAGAAAAGGTTGGAAGACCTGTTTGATATGTGCAGATACATTCAGAGCAGGTAGTGTGTTGAAATTAAATTTTTCTTTTTCTTTTTGTATTTTTTATTGTCACATTTGAGGCTTCATTACTTCTTTATCTCTTAGGCGCTTTTGACCAGCTAAAACAGAATGCCACCAAAGCAAGAATTCCATTCTATGGAAGGTAGGTTACTATCTTTTTTATTTTTGTTTTTTTTGGCTTTTTGAGATTCAGTCTCAGTTTTCGTTCAGTCTGACCTGGAAAACTCTAGCAGTCCAGGTAATCCTTTTGTAATCCTTGTAATTACAATTGTAATCCTTTTGTCTCAGTCTTCTGGGTGCTGGGCTCACAGGTGTGTGCCACCATACGTGGCTTCCTTTTTTAATTCTTTATCATTTAACAATATGTAGTCAGGGCCTGACAACCTGAGTGTGACTCCAGGAAGCATGGTGGAAGGAGAGAACCAGCTTCGTAAGGTTACCCTTTGAACTCCACATGTGTGCTGGCACATCTTTGGGTGGGTGTGCTCCCATGTGTACGTGCGTGCACACACACCTACGGAAGTCTATCTTTAAGTAACTAAAATGAGTATATAGTAACACACCTAATTAGCACTTTTAATGCTTTTTATTATCATTTACCATATAGATTTTTATAGGAAGATCAGTTATTTTACATTAAAATGAGTCTTTTTGACAGCTGTCGTAGTTAGGGTTACTGTTTCTGTGATGAAACACCAAAGGCAACTTGGGAGGAGAAAGTGTTTATTTGGCTTACACTTCCAAATGGTAGTCCATCATTGAAGGAAGTCAGGGCAGGAGCTCAGAAGGGCAGGAACATGGAGGCAGGAGGCCATAGAACCCAGACCCACCAGCCCAGTGCTCTTATGCAGGCATTTTCTCAGTTGAGGTTCTTTTAATAACTCTAGCTTGTGTCAAGTTGACATAAAACTAGCCAGCACAACTGCTTTGTACATCGATTCCTACAGCAGTGGTTAAATGGATTGCATAAATTTGTCAAAACTCATCAAATGGGGACTGGGCATGTAGCTTATGGAATGAGTACTTGCCTAGGATATACAAGGCCCTGAGTTTAATACCTAGGTCCCCCCCACAAAAAAAGGAAAGCAACCCCCCCACCAAAAAAAAAAAGGACCAATTCTCACTAGAATGAATACAGTAGGGACTGATGAGATGGCTCAGCAGGTAACAGCACTCCAGCAAGACTGGCAACCCGAGTCCCATTTCCGGGACCTTGATGGTAGAAAGAGCACCTGTTCCTTCAAGCTGTCCTGTGACTCCACAGGTGCACCATGGTTTAGTCATGCTTATACACATGCACATGGAGAAGATTAAAGAAGTAGATACAATAACAAAACTGAACACAGTGGCACACTTTATTGTGTCATTTGTTAGAAAGAGGAATTGAGTTTTAGAATGGTAATTACTGCAGTTTTTTATGTAACACACTATCTATATATATGTAGTCATTGTCACTTTCTCTTTGGTTTTTCGAGCCTTGGCTGTTCTAGAACTCACTTTGTAGACTAGGCTGGCCTTGAACTCACAGAGATCCGCCTGCCTCTCTCTCCCAAGGGCTGGGATTAAAGGCATGCGCCACCACTGCCAGCTCATTGTCATTTTCTATGAAGAAACATTTTCGATCATGTTTCCTTATGCATTTACAAATTTTAGTTGTATGGCTATGATCTTAGTATTTAAGATGCTGAGGTTATAGCCAGGCATGGTGGCGCACGCCTTTAATCCTAGCACTTGGGAGGCAGAGGCAGGCAGATCTCTGTGAGTTCTAGGCCAGCCTGGTCTATAAAGCAAGTTCTAGGATAGCCAGGGCTGTTAGATAGGAAAACCTTGTCTCAAAAAAAAAAAACAAAAAAAAAGGGGGGGGGGAGATGCTGAGGTGAGAATTATCATGAGTTTAAGACTATACAGAGCTATATAGCTGATACTAGGTTAGCCAGGGCTGCATAGTGAAACCTTATCTGAAAAAATAATTAATTGATTAATTAAATAATGTCTAGTAATGCTAATAGCTGTCATTTTGATTTTAATTTATTTATTCTCTGTGTGGGGGTGTTTTGCTTGCATATATGTTTGTGTAGCACATGTGTGCCTGCCTAGTGCTCTGGTGCTCTTACAGGCTAGAAGAGGGTGTTATATCTCTTGGAACTGGAGGTAAACATGGTTGTGAACCAGGCTTTGTGGGTGCTGGGAACTGAACCTGGATCCTCTGGAAGAGCAGCCAGTGCTCTTAACTGCTGTGCTATTTCTCCAGTCCCTGTTCTTTATGTTTTTTAAAAGAAGTATTTATTTTGTTTCAGGTATGTTTAATACTAACATACCAGATAAACCTTAAATGTTCAGCCTCCATCTATATAGTACATGTGATGTCATCATGATGGGGTGCTGTGCAATGTAAAAGTATTGTTTCACAGGAGTATTTAATAAGTTCATAAAATGTTAACAAAATGTTATTAAATGGAAAAGCAGATATAATATACTTTGCAGCATGACTTCACTTATTAAAGAAGATTTAAAAATGCTTAAGGAAGCAATTCAGAAAAAACATGCATTGGAATTATGTAGACTTTTGTAGGAAAGTTCAGTGGTGCCTCCTGATGCCAAAGAAATGATTTCTGGTCTTGTTACTTGTTAGGAATATCTTCTTCTAAATTGAAAATACAGTATTTTTGCTTTTTCAGACTAGATTAAAATAAACTTACAATTCCCAGGTAAATAGTATTTGGATGTTTTCCCATCCTAATGTTAAATCAGTTGTTTGTGTTCAATAGCTACACAGAAATGGATCCTGTCATCATTGCATCTGAGGGAGTGGAGAAGTTCAAAAATGAAAATTTTGAAATCATTATTGTTGATACAAGTGGTCGGCACAAACAAGAAGATTCTTTGTTTGAAGAAATGCTTCAAGTTTCTAATGCTATAGTAAGTAGCTTTCCATGGAACACCACTTAAAGGACTTCAATTTAACTATGAAACCTGATTGAGTTTTTGGTGAATATAAGTTACTCCTTGCCTATAAGACATCTATTAAGTAATTTATTTCTGTTTTGGGGACCTATAACTCTGTGATAAGGACAATGTCATCATTTTTGGTCTTTAGTATAGAAAAATATAATGAAAAATTAAGAATTAACCTTAAATAGTTGTTGATTTTTTTTCTCATTACCTAAATTCAGTAGAAACAATTATTTTGAAGATTTTTCAAAATGAAGCATTAATATTGTCATTTAGTGTCTCCTTTAAAGCTCCTGAAAGATGGAGCTGAGCGTGGTGGCACACACCTTTTATCCTAGTACTTGGGAAGCACAGATGGATCTCTGTGAGTTCAAAGCCAGCCTGATAACATTAGCTAGTTCTAGGCTATCCAGCCAAGGCTACACAGTGAGACCCTGTGTGTTAGTCACTGTTTTATTGCCGTGAAAGAGACAGCATGATTAAGGCAGCTTTTATAAAGGAAAACATAATTGGAACTGGCTTACAATTTCAGAGTCCGTTACCATCATGGTGGGGATATGGTGGCACACAGGCAGACATGGTGCTGGAGAAGGAGCTGAGGATCCTACATCCAGATCTGCAGGCTGCAGAAGAGAGCAAGCCTCTGGGCCTGGTCTGGGCTTTTGAAACCTTAAAGCCCACTCCCACTGACACACTTCCTCCAACAAGGCTGTACCTACTCCAACATGGCCACACCTACTAATCCTTCTCAAGTAGTGCCATTCCCTATGGCAAAGTATTCAAATAAGTGAGGCTTTGGGGGCCATTCTTACTGAAACCTCCACGCTAAAACAAAAATAAAATTATGGAAATAATGTAGAGGTAAGAAGCAGCTCAACACCTGTTGCATACATTAGAAATTCATGTTTGGTTGTCAGGATGTTGTCAATAATTCTTTGGTTAGTGATTGGTACTAATTAGTGTCTTTTCAGTGCTACTGTTATATTGACAAATGGGAACAGATAAGGGACATGTCCTCAGTCTGTTACTGATTTTGAATACACCCTTCCGCTTTGTGCTTTTTCTGACTTACTTTTACTGTTCCTTTGCCTTCAGTATCTAAAGGTGTTTGCATAAACTCCTCCTCCTCTTCTAGATCTTCTCCTCCTCCTCCTTCCTCTTCTTTTGTCCTCCTCCTCCTCCTCCTCCTCCTTTCTCCCTTCTTTTCTTTTTCTTTATTTTTATTTATTTATTTTTTTTTTTTTTTTGGTTTTCCGAGACAGGGTTTCTCTGTGTAGCTTTGCGCCTTTCCTGGAACTCACTTGGTAGCCCAGGCTGGCCTCGAACTCACAAAGATCCGCCTGCCTCTGCCTCCCGAGTGCTGGGATTAAAGGCGTGCGCCACCACCGCCCAGCTTCTTTATTTTTGAAGCAGACCCCAGGTAGCCCTGGCTGTCCTGGAACTCACTCTGTAGACTAGGCTGGGCGATACTCAGAGATTCGTCTGCCTCTGCCTCCCAAGTACTGGGATTAAAGGCGTGCGCCACCACCTCCAGGCAGCTTTTCTTCTTTATTCAGGCCTCAGCTCAGAATAATTTCCGAAGATGCTACCATATTTTCTTCTATATATCATGGACTCAAAGGTTTTCTTACTATCTCTTTATCAAGCCCTGTATGCCACTTAATTCACGGTGCTCCTTCTCTCAGTCAGTATTTATTAAATAATATTCATAGTAAGCATTCTGTACATGCTCATGGTGACCTTTAATAACACCAGTATGAAGAAGTCTTTTTTTATTCATTCTTTCTAGCAACCGGATAACATTGTTTATGTGATGGATGCATCCATTGGACAGGCTTGTGAGGCCCAGGCGAAGGCTTTTAAAGATAAAGTAGATGTAGCTTCAGTAATAGTGACCAAACTTGACGGCCATGCGAAAGGAGGCGGCGCTCTGAGTGCGTGAGTATCGGTCGGTTGATGCGTCGCTGTTGTGGTCGTTAAAGCCTTTGCCCTGTAAATCATTTGATGTGTGCCCTGGGATCGTGTGTGTGTGTGTGTGTGTGTGTGTGTGTGTGTGTGTGTGTGTGTGTGTGTGTGTTTATGAGTTTCTTACTCTGCTTTTAAGACTGTCTTACTAATGAATTGATATGATGCAGAAGAGAGATTTAAGTAGAGACGGTTTTGGAGCCTATCTGATATAGTTCTAACTAGTGAAAAGAAACTTGAATTTTATACCTTTTGTCTGTTATCTTTGAAAAATCTCCTGGATATTTGTTTTCTTTGTTGAGGTTATTATTTTTTTTTTTCTGTGTAGAGTTGCTGCCACAAAAAGTCCAATTATTTTCATTGGTACAGGGGAGCATATAGATGACTTTGAGCCTTTCAAAACACAGCCTTTTATCAGCAAACTTCTTGGTAAGTTCAGTGTGGGATTACAGAACCGTCTCTGAGATAGTATGGATCTTAAAGTGCTGGGGACCAGTGTGCTGCTGCCTGCATCCCCAGCCCTCTGTCCTCCTCTTTTCTGTGGTTAGAATGGTAAAGTGAGTTACTGGATGCAGAGCTTTTTGGAGGAGTTTGAGCACATACTACAGAAATACGTAGTTAGAGTAATAGAAGTTGTAATGATAGTAAAACTTTTCTGTCCTCTTAAAGTGGTATAGTGAGTGAGCGTGGAGTTAGGAGGTCACCCCTGGACTGCTTTCCCTGACCTACACCTTTGCTTCCTCCTCAGCTTCAGTTTCTTTCATGTAGAGTATAGTAGATTGAACCAACCTTGCACACGATTCCATGTGTCAGTGTGCTCTGCATCATGTGAAGGTGAGCATGTTATCAGCTGTTCATTTTCCGTGTGGTGTCTTGTAGGTATGGGTGACATTGAAGGACTGATAGACAAAGTCAACGAACTGAAGCTGGATGACAACGAGGCGCTCATAGAGAAGCTGAAGCATGGTATACTGTAGCAAACAGCATGTGATCTCAAGTGTGCTTCCTTCCTTCTGTCTTCGTTCCCTTTTGTGGTGCTGAGGATTGAACCCAGGGCTTTGTGCATGCTAGAAGTGCTCTACAGCTCTCTACCTCCCAATCCATTGCTTTTCGGAGAGAGATCTTACTGTGTAGCTGAAGCTGGCTTCGGACTTCTGAACCGCCTGCTTCTACTTGGGTTATAGGTGTGCGCTATCGAACTTTTTCTTGATTTCCTTTTCTCTTCTTTTTAAAAAGTTGGATGTGAGGCGAGTCAATTTGCACATGTCCCACATCACTCATGAAAAGGTTAGAGGATTACTTTGTGGATGAAGTTTGTTCTTTTCCACCTTTACATGGGTTCCAGGGTTGAACTTGGTTCGCTGGGCTTGCAAGACATGCACCTTTATCCACTGAACCATCTTCCCAGCTGGTCTTTTTGATACATTTCCTATTAATTCATTAGAAATGATAATGTCTGTAATTAGAATCAACTTTTCAAATGCTTTTTTTAAGCTGGGCATAGTGACATATGCCTTTAATCTCTTTGAGTTCCAGGCTAGCCTGGTCTACAAAGTGAGTTCCAGGCTCTCCAGGGTTACATAGTGAGACTCTGTCTCCAAAAAAAGAGGTCAAATGCTTGTTTTAGATGATTTATATGCAAATCTTTTTAATTCTTGGGCATCTGAGCAGCTACTGAATTAGTTTTGTTATCTTATAATCAAATTAGCTGAAAGTTGAAATAGAAGCTTTTATTTTCATTCTTGAAACAAAAACAGCTGAGAATTCAGAATATACTTAGTATATATATATTTTGACACAGGGTCTTGTATCCTGGGTTGGTCTGGAATACCTTTTGCTCTTGCTGCTGTCTTTCAGGTACTGAGATTACAGGTGTGCCGTCACACTTGGCCTTTTTTGGGCGGAGGAGGGTGTATGGTTTTTCAAGACAGGGTTTCTCTGTGTAGACCTGGCAGGCTATCCTTGAACTCACAGAGATCCGTCTGTCTTTGCCTCCCATGTGCTGGGATTAAAGGTGTATGTTACCGTTGCCTGGTTTTTGGTGGTTTCGAGAGGAGGTCTTGCTGTACAGCCCTAGCCAGACCAGAACTCACTCTGTAGACCAGACTGGTCTCCATTTGTGGCAGTTCTCTTCTTCCCTCTGCCCTCTGGGGTTACAAGGCTGCACCACCGTGCCTGATCTATAGAATATATCTTTTTTAGTCTGCCTTCCCAATTACGTGTGTATATAATAAACTGTGTAAAAGGAAGTTTAAAAGGATGAGATTAAGAACACATATAGACCCTTTTTCCCATCATGCGAGTGGAAGACCACTTCTGTCTCACTGTTGAAGACTCAGATTCTTCCACCGTGGAACTTCAGCTTTATCTATAAAAGTAGGTGATGGTACTGATGTGGTTGTGACGACCACATAACAAGAGGTACAGGAACACTTAACAAGTGATTAATGATCATCCTGGCTTTTCTCAGACCTTTCCTGTTAATTCCTGTGTTTGTGTACTAGTCTGCCTTTAGCTTCCTTCTCCTTCATTTTGTACTCCTGTGTTTACCTCTCAAATGTTGGTGGTTTTTTTTTAGGCGTCATTGGAGGCCACCTCTTTCTTTCAAGCTTCAACCTTATTAATCTGTATGTTTACTAAACCCATTTTTCCACTGATAAGTTCCATAAACACCTCACATTCAGCATGTTGTTATCTTCCATCCTACCCTTGAACGCTACCCTTGTTTGTTTGTTTGTTTGTTTATTGAGGCAGGGTTTCTCTGTGAGTCCTGGCTGTCCTGGAACTCACTCTGTAGACTAGGCTGGTCTCGAACTCACAGAGATCCACCTGCCTCTGCCTCCCGAGTGCTGGGATTAAAGGTGTGCATCACCACCGCCTAGCTCACACCACCATTTTTATCAGTGAGTGTTAACAACATTTGCCTGTGTCTGGAGTCAGAAACTTGGGTATCATTTACTGATACTTTTTTTTGTGTGTGTGTGTGGGTGGTTTCAAGACAGCGTTCCTCTGTGTAGCTTTGGAGCCTGTCCTGGCCTCGAACTCACAGAGATCCACCTGCCTCTGCCTCCCGAGTGCTGAGACTAAGGCGTGCGCCACCGCCGCCTGGCTTACTGATCCCTTTTTTCTCCTCCAGGACTTGGGATTGGACGCAGGATCTTGTGCACACTAGGCAAACAGTCCACCTCCGAGCCACGTCCTTAGCCTTCTTCATTTTTCTTCTGGTCTTAGTACTTTCACCTCTTGAACACCTCCAGTTTATCGACCAGTCTCTCAGCTCTTCTGCAGCCATGCTATTTTATCTCGTACCTCAATTGCTTATAAAAGAAAGTGTTTAATTGGGGGCTCGCATACAGATGCAGAGAGTGAGTCCATAACCATCTTGGTAGGGGACATGGCAACAGGCAGGCGGTGAGTCCATGATCGTCACAGTAGGGATCTTGGCAGCACACAGGCAGGCAGGCGCTGGAGTGCTAGCTGAGAGCTTACATGCGATTCACGGGTACAAAACCAAGGAAGCATGACTGGGAATGGCATGGGCTTTTGAAGCTCAGAGCCCACTCCAGTGACACTTCTCCAACCAGGCCACACCTTCCAATCATTCCCAACCAGTCCACCAACTAAGGGCCAAACATTCAAATATATGCTCCAGTGGGGACCATTATCATTCAGACCACCACATCCAAACCGTCCTTGAACTTGAGAGCCTCTTGCTTCAGCCTCTGGAATGATGGAGTTACAGGTGTGTGTCACTAAGCCTGGCTGATCTCTATTTAGAAAATAAGAGTTTTCAGAAATTTCGCTATGATCCCATCAATCAAAACTCCTCCGTCAGCTTCCCATTGTCCTTCGAGTGCTTGTAAAAGATCCCATTATCTAGTTCCTGTCTTCTACATAAGGCTTTGACTTGGCTGTATTTAGCATTCTGTGCCAACCATGCTGAGCTTTGAATTTCTCCAGTGTAAGTTGCTCACACTTTTTGCTTGTCCCTCTGTCTGTGACATACATCCTCTCTTTATACTCCCTGTGGACAAGTACTTAATTCCGAGGATAACTTGCTGGAGTTTCTTCTCCTACCTTTATGTGGATTCTGGGGATCAAACTGAGCTCATTAGGCTTGGTGGCAAACATCTTTACCCACTGAGCCATCTAGCTGGTTCCACTTCTTTCATTGTGAATGGCCAAAGTGGATTATTCTAGAATCTAAACACTGGTCCTTATAACAGAACAGCAAGTACTCTTGGTGGCCAAACCATCTCTCCAGCCCAGTTCTATATTGTGTCCATTTTTCCCTCAACCAGTTTATTTCATACGATTTCTCCCTTCCTTTATTATTATTGTTGTTGTTATCATTGTGTGTGTGTGTGTGTGTGTGTGTGTGTGTGTGTGTGTGTGTGTGTGTGTGTGTGTGTGATGTGTGTGTGTGTGAGCACACTGTGGCATGTATATGGCGAGCACAGGGCACTGAAATAGTTCTCTCCTTCCATCTTGTGTGGTTTCCAGGGATTGAACTCAGGTCATCAGTTTGCCTGGCAAGTACCTCATCCACCGAGCCATCTGACCAGCCCATATAATTTGTTTTTGGTTTTGAGACAGAATCTCCTTTCTTTGACTGACGAATCTATTTTCTCTATTGTGTCTTCATCGTCAGAGATTCTCTGTTCCATCTCTTGCATTCTCTTGGTTATGCTTGCATCTGTAGTTCCTGTTCATTTAGTCAGGATTTCTATTTCCAGCATTCCCTCAGTTTGTGTCTTCTTTATTGTCTCGCGATTCAATTTTCAAATCTTGAACTGTTTCCTCCATCTGTTTAATTGCTTTTTCTTGGCTTTGATTTCTTCCAACTTTTTGTTTGTTTTTTCTTCCATTTCTTTAAGGGAATTTTTTATTTCCCCTTTAAGGGAGTTTTTCATTTCCTCTTTAAAGGCCTCTATCATCTTCTTAAAGTCATTTTTAGGATTAATTTCTTCTTCTTCTGCCTTGGTATGTTCAGGTCTTGCAGGTGTAGAATCGCTAGGTTCTGATGGTGTCATATAGGTCTTTATGTTGTTGCCTGTATTTTTGCCCTGGCGTCTACTCATCTCTTCCTCCGCTCGGTGTAGGTGGTGTCTATGTCTGAAGGTGCCTCTCTTGTTCCAGTTGATAGTCCACTAGGAGTTCTTGGTTGAATCGGTTGTGTTGGACTCTGTTTCTCTGGGAGCAGCTTAGTCCAATCAGTGTTAGTGGGTTCTGTCTCAGGGAGCGGTTGTTCCCAATTGGTGCAGGGTGGGCTTATGACTCCAGTGGTTGTTGGGTTTGCAGGGGCTGTTTTTTTTGGTGAGGGAGTAGGGAAAGGTAGCTGCCTGGTCCCTAGGGCTCCGATGGCTGGGGCCTAGGGGCTAGAGACCTGGTCTGCAGGTCCAGAGATGGGACCTTACCTGTTCCCAGTCGGTGTAGGATGGGCTTATGCCTCTGTTGATCTCGTTCAGTGGCTGGACGGCTCCTACTCTTGCATTCTCGGGTCGCTCGCCCACTCCTCAGTTGATCTTGTTTGCTCAGACTGCAGGCTGCAGGCTTCTGAAACCTCTCCGGAATGGGTCTCAACTGAACAGGTTGATCAGTAGGGCAATCTCACCAATGCCTCCATGTTGTTGGGCTTCGCAGGATCGGCAGCTGGACCCCGGGTCGGCCTTGGGCAGAATGCTCGGGTCTTAGGGTTGATTCCCCAAGTTATGGGATTCAGAATCTTCCTTTCTTAGTCCTGGCTGACTATAAACTTGGAATCTTTTCTCCTCAGCCTCTTCTAAGTGTAGAGAATACAGGTATGAGCCACCATGCCCATCAGCAAAACATTTTTATAATCACCAATGAAGTTTTTTTTATAATCGTCAATGAAACTCTAGTTTTTTCATACAGGGACTCTCTACGTAGCCTTGACTGTCCTAAAACTCTATGTAGACCAGGCTGTCCTCAAACTCAGAGGATTCAGCTGACTCTGCTGGGACTAAAGGGTGTGTCATCACTCCTGGCATTATTTGAGTACTACTTTGTGGTCAGTCTGTCCAACCATGGATAGCTAAGCTATGAAGACATTTCAAATCTTATAAATCATTTTCACTATTTTATCTTCTTGCCCGTAATGCATAGAAGTTTTACATGTTCTATGTTCTCTTTAGTTTTTGCTATGTTCAAGCCTTTTAATTGTAGCCATCTTAGTAGATGTAGTTTGCCTTGTTTCTAAGTTTCTTGTAATTGCGTATGTCTATCTAACGTGCTAGAATAGTAAGCTTCTCTGTGATACAATCTGTCCTTGTGCTTATTACTCCTTACAGCCTTCATCCTGTCTTCCACACAGTAACTGTGCAATGAATGTTTATTGATCGGATAATATGCTTCAAGATGAATTCATGATTAAGGAAAATACTAGTTTTATTGAATGGAAATGTACATTTTCTGCTATATCTGAATTATTTATATTGCATTTCAGGTCAGTTTACATTGCGAGACATGTATGAACAGTTTCAGAATATCATGAAAATGGGCCCATTCAGTCAGATCTTGGTTAGTTATCTTTAAATGTTTCTAAAGTTCTTTCTGTGTTTTTGTGTTCATTGTATTTGTACAAAGAAAGCAACTTTAATACACTGCAGTGCGCCAGGCATGGCTGTAACAGAAGAGCCGCCTGCCTGATTCGCGGGTATCAGTTGTGTACAATTGGGTTTTGTTGTGACATCTTCATGAGTTCATATAATGCACTTTTCATTGTAATTTCTAAGAACAGTTATTCCTGCATAAATCATTTGGGTAAAATGGTTTGTTTAATAATTACTTTCAAGGCTAGTGTTTAAATATTGACATTTTGAGCAGTATGAAGTCATTGATGACTATGTTTCAATCTGTTTTAGGGGATGATTCCAGGCTTTGGAACAGATTTTATGAGCAAAGGAAATGAACAGGAGTCAATGGCCAGGCTAAAGAAGCTGATGACCATAATGGACAGTATGAATGATCAAGGTGAGCGAGTAAGTGCCTTGACTGAGGGGCACTGTTCTGGAGAGCAGCAGGGTTTGAGCTTCATGTTTTCTTGTTGGCAAGATGGAAGAAACTTAGATCAAAAGATTATTGTTAGGTAGATCTGGAGTAACTTGTAAGCTCTCGCTTAAAGGGTTGTGATCATTGGGCTGATTCATTGAGAGAAATTCAAAGTATAACACTTTTCTAAATGAGCTCTGAAGAAAGAATTGTATGTTTTCATCAAGTTGATAGAAATGAATACGGAAAATTGCCAGGTGGCGGTGGCGCGCACCTTTAATCCCAGCACTCGGGAGGCAGAGGTAGGCGGATCTTTGTGAGTTCGAGGCCAGCCTGGGCTACAGAGTGAGTTCCAGGAAAGGAGCAAAGCTACACAGAGAAACTCTGTCTCGAAAAACAAAAAAACAAAACAAAACAAAACAAAACAAAAAAGAAATGAATGGGGAAAATTACAGTCGGTTTTGAGAGAATCCTGGGCTTAAAAAAAATTAAATGTTGGCTGGGTATGTTGGTGCACTCCTTTAATCCAGGCATTTGAGAGGCAGAGGCAGGTAGATCTCTGAGTTTGAGGCCAGCCTGGTCTACATAGCAAGTTCCAGGCTAGTCAGAGATACATGGTGAGATCCTGTCTCAATATAAATAACCAGGGGCTGGAGGAATGGCTCAGCAGTTAAGAGCACTGGCTGTTCTTCCAGAGGTCCTGAGTTCAATTCCCAGTCCACATGGTGCCTCACAACCATCTATAACTGTAGTACCATGGGATCTGATGTCCTCTTCTGGTGTGCAACTGTACATACAGATAAAACACCCATATACATAAAGTACAGAAATAAGTAAATCTTTAAAAAAAAAAAAAGAGAAGCTATTTATAAATAATCAAGTAAATTCAGTGGTTTTTTTTATTGTCTCTTCAATACTTAATGTGTACCTTTCAAATATAAATCATCACAGTTCTTAAGGGAGATAGTTCACTATTATCTATCTCTTCCGGGTGAAAAAAACTGAGGTATAATCATACTGAGTAAAAAATTTCAAGGTCACTGGACAGTAGAGAGGCTGGGGTCCAACCTAAACAATTTTCTTGGGAGTCTGTCCTCAGTCACTCTGTAGGTTACATGATGGCTCTCCCACATCTGAAAGCTTTTTTTTTCTTTTTCTTTTTGAAGTCATGTTTGTATTTATTTGTTTATCTGTTTGTTATCAAAAGCCTTCTTTTTATCCCTGGTAGGGGTGTATATATGGAAATGCCAGGCAACAAAAATTCTGTAATTAGAGTTATAACCAAATGACATACTTCCTTACATAATTATTCAGTTCCCACAAGTTTATTTATAGTTTCAATAAAATCCCAGTCTCTAGACAAGGCCGTGCACACTTATGATCCCTATACTTGGGAGGTGGAGGCAGGAGGAACAGGAATTCAAGGTCATTCTTGAGCAGTAAGGTAAGGTTGAAGCCAGCTTGAGCTACATGAAACCATCAAAAAACAAAAAATAATACTAATAAATAAATAAAAGTCTAAATAAAAATCTTCCTTTTCATGTGTGTAGCAATTGGTAATAGTGATTCTGAAACTTAATCAAAATGGAAAATGCCAAGACTGGGCAGATACATAAACACACACACACGTAATCCTAGCACTGAGGCAGGAGTACCCTGAGCGAGCTGGAGGCTGGCCTGGCTATGTAGCAAGTACAAGGCCAACAACAGCTGTCTAGCAGCTCTTGGTTCCAGACTAAGGAAAAAACAGTCTAAAAAAGGAAAAGCCCAGTTAGCCAAAACATTTTGAGAAGTTTAGATGTCTGATGTAACTGAATATCAAGACAAAGTGGGTCGTGTCCCCCTCTCCCCGCCAGTCCTAAGATACTCTGACTGCTGTCTTCTAGAAATCTTCCCGATTATTTGCATTCCTGCATCAGTAAGTGAGAGTTTGTGTCTGGAGGAGACAGTTGACCCAGCTGTGTTTAGTGAAGACAGTCCAGCTTCCCAACTTCACGATCTTTGCTGCTGTTCTTTGCAGAATCAGTGTTTACAGGTGTGCATTTGTTCCGTAGTTTTGTTGTTTTTTGAGACAGTCTCACTGTGTAGCCTTAGCTGACCTGTAACTTGTTATGTAGGCCAAACTGGCTTCAAATTCAGAAGAGATCTGTTTCTGCCTCTGAGTGCTAGGATCAAAAGCATGTGCCACCAGGCCTGGATCATTCTGTATTTGGACTGATTCTAGAAACTGCAATCTTATATTTCCTGTGCTGTTAGCCAATCACTGGGGTCGCTAAGACTGAGGGCACCTATTTTTTTAATAATGGAAACTGATTTTTTTTAATTATTATTTTACGTGTATGAGTGTTTTGCCTGAGTGTATGTCTTTTCAAAATGTGTATGCTGTGCCTGGGGAGGTCAGAGGGCATGGGATTCCTTGAAATGGGAGTTACAGAGAGCTGAGAACCACTGTGTGGTGCTGGGAAGCAAACCCTGATTTTCTGGAAAATCAGCCAGTGTTCTTAACCACTGAGGTACTCCTCCTCCAATTTTATTTTATTCATTTTTCTGTTATTTATTTATTTATTTATTTTGGAGGCAAGGTTTCTCTGTTTCCCTGGCTGTCTTGAAACTTGCTCTGTAGACCAGGCTGGCCTCAAAGTCATAGATTCGCCTGCCTTTGCCTCCTGAGTGCTATGATTAAAGCTGTATGCCACCACTGCCCAGCTCGCCCCACCCACACTCCCTTTTATAAAAACTTTCTTAGTTACTTATTGCCGGGGTTTGGGGAGGACTTGGTATACGTGTGTAGCGGTCAGACGACAACTTGGGGAAGTAGGTTCTTCTACCATGAGAATTTCAGGGATTGAATTCAGGTTATCAGGCGTGGCAACAAGCAGCTTTATCTACTACGCCGTCTAGACTGCTAGTTAAGGGATACTAGGGATGTCATAAAGAGAATGTTGGGCTAGGCATATCATGTGCCTATAACCCTGTCACTCAAGAGGCCAAGACAAGAAGATCACAAGTTTGAGCTCAGCCCGAGATACAATGAGAAAGAGACTGAGAGGTGTTTTCTGTTATGTCTGCATTCTGGCTCTGTTTATTTGAGACAGTTACACTATAGAATTCCCCCCCCCCTTTTTTTTTCTTTTTTTTTTTTTTTTTGGTTTTTCGAGACAGGGTTTCTCTGTGTAGCTTTGCGCCTTTCCTGGAACTCACTTGGTAGTCCAGGCTGGCCTCGAACTCACAGAGATCCGCCTGGCTCTGCCTCCCGAGTGCTGGGATTAAAGGCGTGCGCCACCACCGCCTGGCTTTTTTTCTTTTTTTATGACAGGGTTTGCTGTGTATCCCAAGCTGGCCTCGAACCTTGTGATCCCCCTGCCTCACCCTCCCGAGTGTGCTACTTACCATGCATGCATAGATCAAAGTAGATATTTGGACTGAAGTCCACCTCATTCCTTGCATTGCATACAAGTAAAGGCAGAAGAACTACACCTTATGTTCTGAATGATCCAAAAGCTGAAGGGGACTCATGAGTAAAAGGATTAGAATATTACCAGGTAGAATTTCTCCATTTACTATAGATGGAATCTACTGTCTTCTACCTGCTTAGGAGATCTAAATTTGTGAATTAGAAGTTAGCAGCTGTTTAATAGGCTAGAATCAAGGTGAGTGCTCCTGTTGTTTTTGAAATACGCCATATTGTGATTTGTGGAGGACAAAGAAAGATGGATATGTGAAATACAGAGTGATAGACATAGAGTTTCAGAAGTCCTCAGATTTTTCTTTCTTCCTTTTGAAGCCAGGTCTTACCATGTAGTCCTAGCTGGCTTGGAACTTGCTATGTAGACCAAACTGGCCTCAGACTTACAGAGATCCTCCTGCCTCTGCCTCCTGAGTTCTGGGGTTAAAGGTATATGCCACCATGCCTGTTTGTTCTCAGAATGTTCTGTTTAAATGATAAAGTATACATATGTTTGCTTTGTTCTTTTTATTCGAATGCTATAAATATTTTTATTCTATTCTACTTTAAGATTTTAAATTGGAAGTAAACCTGACAAACAGTAACACTTATTAAATCTGTTTTGTGGTTTGACCCTGTGCATGTCTTGTTCTGTATATGAGATAGATATTTTATAGTATTCAAACAGCAGTGACATTTTCTCTCTAGAGACACAAGCTGGGGAATGGCTCAGGGGTGACAGCACTCGCTGTGAGGCAGGAGGCCTGGGTTCCAGACCCCCAGAAGCCATGCTCAGAAGCCATGCGTGGCTCTCCATCCCTCTAACTCTGGTGCTGAGGAGTGCAGACAACCAGAGCCTACTCAAAACAGCAAGCTTTAGGTTCATCGAGAGACCTTCTATCAAACAGATAATTTGGGAGAGGACTCATTTGTACACACATACACGTCAATACACAAACACTCATCCTCCTCCCCATCTGAGGGTTGGTGGGGTGCTTGCCTAGCCTACAGGCATCCCTCTGTTAGGACCCAGTAAACTGGGTGTGGTATCAAACACTGTAATCCTAGCACTCAAGAAATGGAAGCAGGAAAGTCAGAAATTCAAGGTCATCCTCGCCTTCATAGAGATTTTGAGGCTAACTAGGGATGCATGAGACCCTGTCTCTAAAAAATAAACAAAAAACGTATCTGTACAACCCTCTGAAGTTATATGTTGCTTATTTGAATTTCCTTTGTGTTCACTTCTTCCTTGTTCAGTTCCAAGTTTTTCATTTGGCTTTATTTCTGTTTTCTTTTTTATAATTTATTTCTTTTTATTTCATTTACGTTGGTATTTTGCCTGCATGTATGTGTCTGAGGGTGCCAGATTTTGGAGTTAGAGACAGTTGTTAGCTACCATGTGGGTGCTGGGAATTGAACCTGAGTCCTGAAAGAGCAGTCAGTGCTCTTAACTGCTGAGTCATTACTCTAGCACACTGCCCCCCCCCTTTTTTTTTGTTGTTGTTTTTTTTTTTTAGTTTTTCGAGACAGGGTTTCCCTGTGTAGCTTTATGCCTTTCCTGGAACTCACTCTGTAGCCCAGGCTGGCCTCAAACTCACAGAGATCCACCTGGCTCTGCCTCCTGAGTGCTGGGATTAAGGGCATGCGCCACCACTGCCCGGCTCATATATATATATATATATATTATTTTTTTTTCCTAATAAATACATTTCCATTTTAGGAGTGGAGGTGTAACTCAGAGGTAGAGTACACCTGTGATAATGAATGATGCTCTTATGTAAATGATATCATTTGGTCCTTGTCTGCAGAACTGGACAGTACAGACGGTGCCAAGGTTTTTAGTAAGCAACCAGGCAGGATCCAGAGAGTTGCCCGAGGGTCAGGGGTATCCACAAGAGATGTTCAAGAACTTCTGACTCAGTACACCAAGTTTGCGCAGATGGTCAAGAAGATGGGAGGTATCAAAGGACTTTTCAAAGGTGAGGCAAAAAGGTGCTTTATCACTTCAAAGAATGAAGTGAAGAAACAAAACATGACTGGAAAGGTGCTGCTGTGTTTCATGTTGTGGGGCCTGGGGCTTTGCTCAGTGGTAGGGCCTGTCTGAGTCCCTGGTTTCATCCCAGTACTGAAGAAGAGAGACAGTCTGAACTTAATGTTACAGTCAAGTACCACCAGGATTTATCATGTGATACACAATTTATCTGTTTGTAGAATCAAGATTGTAGACATTAATATTGAAATGATTTTATTTCTATCAACATACATACTATAGGATATTTAGAGAATGTAAGAGTATAAAAAATTGAACTCTCTTTCATTCCTCAGAGAATCCCACAAATCCTGTGGAGACAAGTCGATAAAACTACTGATTATTTTTCCATATTACCAAATATTCTTCAAATATATCGATTAACTGGGTTGGGTATCACATGCTTACACTCCCGGCTTTCTTGAGACAAGAAAAGCAGCAGGGGCATTGCCGCCCTGACCCCCTGTGATTCCTTAAAAGCTAGACCTGGTGTCAGAACCCCAGCAAAACTCAAGACTGTCTGTCTGTCTGTATCTCTCTCTCTCTCTCTCATCACTGCCTCCTCCTGTTTCAGCCCTGCTTATGTCTAGATCCTCAGCTGACTCGTCTGCCGTTGTGTCCAGTCAGCTTCTAGGCAGTTCCGTGGAGTCAGTTTTCCTCTTAGGTTAGAAATACAGTAGACACTGAGTACATTTTCTGATGTAGTGTCTACTTTAGTGGTCACATATTTTTCAGTACATTTCCTGTTGTAATTTTTAAAGTTACTTTGTGCTTCTACTGGTTGGAGTTTGGTCGTGGGTCACCTCTCCCTTGTTCAGTCCCTCAGTGCTTCTCCCTGTTGCTCTGTAATAGCATCTTAACATCCTTGCTTTTCTTCTGCAGACTGTCCCAAGCTTTTCATTTGACTCTATTTCTAGTTTTAGAGCTGGAGGTGTAACTCAGAGGTAGAGTGCTTGGCTAGCATGCTTGAGGCTCTGAGTTTGATCCATAGTCCACCAACCCCTCTCCAAAGTTTCAAGTGAGCACAGTGTCTATAACCCCAGCATTTAGGAGGCAGAGGATATCTTCAAGTTCAACACCAGCTAAGGCTACATAGTAAGACCTTACCTCAAAAAGTAAAACAGAGCTGGAGTAGTGGTGCCCCCTTTGATCCCAGCACTCAGGGTGGCAGAGGCCAGCCTGGTTTATAAAGAGAGTTCTAGGACAGCCAGAGTTGCATAGAGACCCCGTCTCAGTCAATCCATCAGTCAAACAAAACCGTTTTCCTGTAAGCCACACCTGTTTATTGTTGATCTTTTCCTTTGGTCTTTCACTCATGCGGCCTTCCCCGTGTTGATACCACAGTAACCAGCTGAGTGTTTTCTTCTCCTCATTTTTGTTTGATTGGTTTAGTGGGCCTGGGATCAAACTCAGAATCTCATGCATGCTGTGTAGGCTCTATACCACCAAGCTTTATCACTTGGCCAGATTTATTTTTTGTCTTTTTATTCCTGCTGGAATTTATTTTGCTATGTATAGTATAAAAAAAAATTTGTTTTTCTGAAGAATTTATTCAAAAGCCTTCTTTTAATTTAGTTTCTATAATGTAAAAAAACACTTAAATTGAACTATGCAGTGGTGGCGCACTCCTTTAATCCCAGCACTTGGGAGGCTGGGGCAGGTGGATATTTATGAGTTTGAGGTTAGTCTGGTCTACATAATGAATTCCTGGATTCCAGGACAGCTACACAGTAATATTCTTTCTCAAAAAAAAAAAAAAAAAAAGGACATACAAATATCTTTGAGATCATATGCCACGTGGTGATAGCAGACTCCTTTGATCTCAGCACCTGGGAAGCAGAGACAGTCTGAGCTCTGAGTTTCTGAGTTCCAGGACAACCAGGGTTGCACAGAGAAATCCTGTTTTGCATGTTCATTTAACAGTTATTCGGTCTCCCCCAGTTAGTCCTTATCAGTAACTCCAAATTTTTGTTCAACCTCTTCTATCACTGTTCTGTGCCCTCCCCCATACTGGGTATTTGAGCTAGGGCCTCCTGCGTGCTAGGCAGTCAGTGGACCACTGAGCTCTAGCCACAGCCATATTTTAAATTTTAAGCTATTTTTTCCCCCCGGAGCTGAGGACCGAACCCAGGGCCTTGTGCTTGCTAGGCAAGCACTCTACCACTGAGCTAAATCCCCAACCCCAGCTATTATTTTTTAATGAAGTTACTTTCGGCAAACAAACACTACATAGATATCCACTTCAAGTACCACATGATTAGTGAAGATTTTATGTCTCCTGTGTTATTGAGGAGATTGATGTTTCTTTCCAGAATGGTCAAGGATACACCCAGGGCATTCCAGGAGCACCATGCCCATATGGTCCTGTTTGGTCTTTTAGAGTTCTCTGAGCACACGCAAGCGCAGGCAGAGCCGCCTTGCTGTGTCCTTTGGTTCTCTCCTTGTGGTTGGTGGTCCTCCCAGCTTCTGTCTGTCTCATCAGGGTCCCTAGCGGGGGCTGCCTAGTTACATTAGGGGGGAAAATCGTAGCTATAAGGAGTACTTGTAGCCAGGCATGGTGGGTCATGCCTTTGATCCCCTTACCCAGGAAGCTGGTTTACATAGTAAATTCCAGTGTAGCCAGGGCGAATGCAGTAACAACAATGATCCTATATATAGAATTTCTTGTGTTTGTCCTCAAAAAAATGTAATTGAGAAAAATATTAGTAAGCTGTGTGATATTCTATACCACATCATATACTAACTAAAAATTTTTGTTTCATCAGGGGGTGATATGTCTAAGAATGTGAGTCAGTCACAGATGGCAAAATTGAATCAACAAATGGCCAAAATGATGGATCCACGAGTTCTTCATCACATGGGTAAATATAAAATCCTTGGCCAATTGTAACATACAGTTACATTTGGAAGGCTGTAGTTTAATGGTAAGACTTTTGTAGTGATTTATGAAACTCTGTGGTGTATATGAAAGCCTGTTTAAAAGGTAAGTGGCTGGCCGGGCGGTGGTGGCGCACGCCTTTAATCCCAGCACTCGGGAGGCAGAGCCAGGCGGATCTCTGTGAGTTCGAGGCCAGCCTGGGCTACCAAGTGAGTTCCAGGAGAGGCGCAAAGCTACACAGAGAAACCCTGTCTCGAAAAACCAAAAAAAAAAAAAAAAAAGGTAAGTGGCTGAAGGAAGATGACCCTCTGAATCCTGACTGGTTGAATTTTATATAATACCTCCTCAGGAGACTGTGACAAATAAATGAGCAGATGTGTGTGGAAGCATTTAGTGTAGTTCTGGCCGTATAGTAAGTGCTTAACAAATGGTAAATTCTTTTTTTCTGTAAGTCCTTTGAAACATAGCTCCTATCCCGAATTGACCAGTTTTTATAAAACTAATTCTCGTTACTAAAAGACTTAGTCTTGACATAGAAAATGCTCTGTTTAGACTTGATTGTGGACAGGAACTATTGCAAGATCTTTTCGTGTTTTACCTTATTCCTCACGGTAACTTCATAAAGCACATTTTCCGTTTTCTTTTTTAGATGAGAATAAAGCAATAACACACATTTTAATTGGCTGCTGACGAAATCGCTGTGAAAGCGCTGCCTTTTAGAGGTTCAAGGGCTTGTTAGGCAGAAGCAGTAACCCTTTGGAGGAGGCCGCGTGGTCATGACCTCTTTTCCTCTGGTCCCCTCTAGGTGGCATGGCAGGACTTCAGTCCATGATGAGACAGTTTCAGCAAGGTGCTGCCGGCAACATGAAAGGCATGATGGGATTCAATAACATGTGAAGAAGATGCCTTCCTATAGACTGACGTGGATGGTTATGTTACCTCCTTAGACCTCAGCGTCTCCCCCTTTGCAAGTGGGGGGAAGTTTCTTGCCTGTCCCGCTCTCATTCTTTAGTCTCGCCCGTTTCCTTTTGTCTGCCTTCTCTTCTGCCGGGAGGGAGGGAGGAGTGGCTGGTGTTTCGGAAGTCATCCTGTTTCTGCTTCAGATCTTCTTGTAGTTTGACCGTCATAACACTTCTTAAGTTAAAGAAATCATGATGTGAAATTTTAGTACTTAAAGATTTGTAATCGTCTCAAAAGCCAAGCGTCACATTTATAAACAGTCCCGATCAGTAAATTACATGATATTGAAGGAAAGTGCTGCAAAATAAACTTCAAGTGATAAGTTAAAGGGTCGTTAACTTTCTTTATGGTTTAACGTGCTCAGTGTACCCCCAGAAAGTAGACAAAAAGCCAGCAGGTACCTTTAAAGGGAGATACGGGAGAGTCATTTAATCATGACTATTAGGAAATATATTTACTTTAGGATAAAATAACTTTATTACAAAAAAAAACCCCTCAGCTTTGCTATTTAAATTGAATTCAAGAATTTGGTTACAGTTCGTAACATATGATGTATCCAATTTTTTACATGTGGTCTTTGTTTTTAAAGCCATTTTTATGTTTCTTATATAATATTGAAAAATTATATTTTTTGATAATAGATAATACATACATTTTCTAATGGGCAAGTAATATTAAATTATTAGGCTACAGTTTTGTATATTAAAAAAATAAGGCCATGACAGAGTTGGTTGGATTGTTGGTAGCTATGGCTGCATATGTCTGTGTAGGTGCTCTTGTGCTGTAGCCCATGTGTGGAGCTGAGAGGGCAACCTTTTTTTTTTTTTCCTCTGGTATTTCAAGACAGGGTTTCTCCGTGTAGTTTTGGTGCCTGTCCTGGATCTCACTCTGTAGCCCAGGCTGGCCTCGAACTCACAAAGATCTGACTGCCTCTGCCTCCCAAGTACTGGAATTAAAGGCGTGTACCACCACTTCCTTGGTTTTTTTTGACACAGGGTCTTACTATGTAGCTCTGGCTGTTCTGGAACTCACTATGTAGCCCAGGCTGGCCTCGAACACACAGAGATCCCCTGCCTCTGCCTCCCGAGTGCTGGGATTAAAGGTATGAGTCACCACACTAGGCTTCAGAGGACAACTTGGCAGAAGTCAGTTCTCATTTCACCATGTGGGTCTAGGGATTGAACTCAGGTCAGTCACACTTGGTACCAAGTGCCTTCACCCACAGAGCCATGTCGTAGTCCACAGTGCGTGTATGTGTGTGTGTGTGTGTGTGTGTGTGTGTGTGTGTGTGTGTGTGTGTGTTCAAGTTGATGTGTGCACAGGCCAGGGTACACATTATTGGAAGTCAGAACAATGTGAGGTGCTAGTCCTTGCCTTCTCCATTGTTTGAGACGGGTTCTCCTGTTTGTTTCTGTGTAGCCAGGTTAGTTGGCTTTCAAGTTTCTGGGGATACTCTAGTGTCCACCTCCCATTTTGCTGCAGAAGTGCTGGATGGAACTACATTACTACTGTGTCTACCTGTGGTTGGTTTGGGGAGAAAGGCTAAGGCTGGTCTGGAACTCAGTGCCAAGTTTTCTGCTTCAGCCCCTGGAATGCAGTAATTATAGTAAATCACCATTCTTTGAAAAGTATTCTCATAAAGTAAGGCAGTTCAGCTGGGATTGGTAGTGCTTAGCAAATCCTAATATTTAGGAGGCTGAGGCAGGAAGATCGTGAGTTGGAGGTCAACCTAAGTTATGTAGACCATGTCTCAAAAACCGAAAATGTAACAAAAAGAATACAACTGATTTTGTGTTTTGCTTAGGTACAGATAATTATTGTTTAGTAGAAGACTAGGATTTCCTGACTGGGCACTGTATCCTAGAGAAATTACGTATTTTGTGATCTTCAGAATTGACACAGCAAGATGTAGCTATAGACATCTGAAACTAGAGAAAATGCTAATTAAATTGCACACTACCTTTTCTTGGTGTGCATGTTAGTGATTTCTGTTTTCTGGGTATTTTGTTTTGATTAAATAAAGGCAAATGAGATGAATATTTAGCCATAACATGCTGAATGCCTCTGCATGGGTTTTGGTATTTTTCTGTCTGATCCTAATTTATTTTTCAAAAACTAAACAGTGGCAAAAGAACAGTTAAAGATCAGGGTGCCCCTGGGTCAGTATATTAGTGATGTTCTCTAGAGTGACAGAACTTACGTGTGTGTGTGTGTGTGTGTGTGTGTGTGTGTGTGTGTGTGTGTGTGTGTGTGTAGATTTATTGGACTGACTTACAGGCTGCAGTCTATCTGAATGGAAAGTCCAAGAATCTCGTGGTTGCTCAGCTGGTCCTCTGTATATCCTAGAATCGTGGAGAAGTAGGCTCGAATGCCACTGGTCCACAACTCTGCATTTTGATTGATTGTTGTTTTCTGCAGTGGTCTGTCTGTTGCATGGAGAAGTTTCTTTGATGGGGGACAAGGACTGTTTATCTGTGGGTACAGGACAGATATTTAGGATGTAGTTAGGAGTTAGGCTGGTTTAGTGACGTGGCACTTGCAGGTTCTGCTCCAAGATGTGTGACTTCACTAGCCGTGGCAGGCGTAATTTCCAGTCCAGTTAGAGAACTGTTGGTTATCCCCGGGTATGTGTGCCACATCCACGTGGCTCCATGTACAGTGGAGCAGAGGCGTGATGGCAGGAACAGCAGGGAGCCCACATCTTTATCTGCAGGTAGGAGGCGGAGGGAGACACACTGGGAATGGGAAGAGGACTTTGAAACCTCAAAGCCTGCCCCTAGAGACACATCATCTCAACAAGGCCATTCCACCTAGCCCTTCCCAAACAGTTCCATCAACAGACCCGGTGTTCAAGCTTATGAGCCTGTGGGGGCCTTTCTCATTCAAACTACTGGAGAACCAAACCCAGGTGGTCTTACTGAAGAGCAGCAAGTCCCCTTAACCCTGGCCATTCTCCAGTCCCCAAATTAATTTTCTTATAATATTGCTTTAAATTCCAATTACAGTGTTTTGACCATTATAATATTTTATCAAATGTCATCTTAATGTCCTCTGCTTTGGGAATGAAAGTTATTGGTGTGGTTAATTTGCATCTCATTTGCTAAGAAATTAGCTTAAACTTTACCTCTAGATGAGTTGTCTAGCCTGTGACATGTTATTGTAGTAGTTAGGTGATGTATGGAAATGTTTTGTGCTGGTTTCTCCCAAACTTTTGAAAGCAGGAAGGACATTGACCTGTGCTTACTGTTGAGGACTTGCACACCTATGGTCTTAAGCTAATTCCCTGCACTGACTTACAGTCTGTAGTGTTGTGGGGTTTTTGTACACTGTATGAAGATATATTGCTGTGATTAGTTTAATAAAGAGCTGAACGGCCAGTAGCTAGGCAGGAGGTATGGGAGGGATAATCTTGGCTCAGGAGAGATGCCAACTAGACATGTGGAGTCCGACATACAGAATGAAAGAAAGGTAAAAGCTCCATAGTAAAGTGTAGATTACTAGAAATGGGTTGATTTAGCTCTCGGAGCTAGTTAGGAACAAACCCAAGCTATAGGCCGAGCTTTTGTAATTAAAAAGGTTCTTTGTCATTATTTGGGAGCTGGCTGACGGGACAGAAAATATCTTGTTACATTGTAGCAGGGAATTGATATCTAGGTAATTTTATGTTTTTAGAGTGAAACTACACCTTATCAAGCATTTATAATTATTAATATTTTATTAATATGAGCCTATCATGGAAGTTCTTTTGGGCATTTTTTTTTCTTTATTGAAACAGGGCCTCACTATGTAGATGTAACCCTGACTGTTCTTGAACTCACTATGTAGACCAGATTGGCCTCAAACTTACAGAGATCTGTCTGATTCTGCCTCCTGAGTGCTGGGATTAAGGGTGTGTAGCATTCTGCCCAGCTGACATGTCTATTTTATATTTGACAATTCTCATTTCTTTTCCTCCAGTTAAATATATATTTTTAGCTTCATTTTGCTTAAGAGAGTATTATTAACCTAAAACAACGAAATTAT